TAGGGATTTGGGGTTTAGGGTTTTAGGGTTTAGGGGTTTCGGGTTTAGGGTTTGAGGGCTTAGAGGTTTAGGGTTTAGGGATTTGGGGTTATGGGTGTTAGTTTCGGGGCCTTATTAATTACTTATACTATTTTAGGGGCTCCTTATTAAGGCGCCTACATTGCCTGGGCTCCTTGGCTTTTAGGGTTTGGGGCTTATAGGATTTAGGGTCAATGGGCTTAGGATTTGTTTTTAGGGTTCAGGGTTTAGAGTAGGTAACCCTTAACTTTTTAGGTTACTAGAATCCTTTTACATAATCCCAATATACTCCCAAAGGTCAACTTTAAATTCCCTAGGATACTGGACAACTATGCCGGGCTCTTGTTAAGTGACTTCGGGTTTAGGATTTAGTGTTTGGGGTTGAGCCTGGCCTATACAGGGAACCATCAAGGGTAGAAGAAGGTTTTATAAATTAGGAATCTGGGTTCTTGTTTAAGGGGTTTAGGGTTTAGGGAGCTGTTGTGCTGTACTATTAAATACTGAGTTTACCAAAAAGGTTCTATTAGGCCCCAAAACCCAAAACCCTAGAATTCCCTAAGACCAGAAAGCCCCTAGAGCCCTAAACCCTCAAACCCAAACCTTAAACCCTAAACCTTAAACCCTAAACCCTAAACCTTAAACCCTAAACCCCTAAACCCCTAAGCCCCTAAACCCTCAAACCCAAACCTTAAACCCTAAACCTTAAACCCTCAACCCTAAACCTTAAACCCTAAACCCTAAACCCTAAACCCTAAACCCTACTACACCCCATGACCCCAAGATTCTGGGACTTGGGGATGTGGGAGGCTGCTGACGGTCACGGCGCTCGCTTCCGGGGCCTTCCAAAGTGAGCTTCTCCAGGCCGGGGCTCCAGGGCTTTGGGGTTTAGGGTTTAGGGTTTAGGGTTTAGGGCTTTGGGGTTTAGGGCTTTTGGGTTTAGGGTTTAGGGGGGTTTAGGGTTTAGGGGGCTTTGGGGTTTAGGGTTTAGGGTTTAGGGCTTTGGGGTTTAGGGCTTTTGGGTTTAGGGTTTAGGGTTTAGGGTTTAGGGTTTTTGCTGACTTCGCGGCCTTACACTGATGCTTGAGTTGCCATGGCCCTATCGCGCAAAGCCTCCGGGACTACTGTAGGGGTGGA